CGAACAACAGTTTAATTTTATGCCTGCATTGAAGAGACAATACAAATCATACAGCATTTGCAAGTCTAACAAAATGTGTTCTTTTCGACACAAATGCATTTCCCACATTTGTGGCGATTGACAATTTAGAACAGATATACTGTATGTCCCAGATGACTTATTACAGTCTAAAATATTGCAATAATTTGATATTTTTCGTCTCTGTATCTCTGTAATTGGATTAGCAGGCCAGCTCTGCTAGATAAAGACAATTTTAAGGTAACTAGCAGCGGCGTAGTTCACCAGGGACACATTTAGAGCTGCAAAGCCAAAGACTTGGGATGGAAACGCATGGGCCATATGCTCTCGGTTCAGAATGACTTGCTGTTACAGTTGATGGTCTATTTTTGAACATGTCATTGAACTATTTATTTCATAAAATGAGGTGCAGTGCAACTTATGGCAGAATGTGTTGGGTCAAGTAAGATGCATCAAACCTTTCTAGCTCCAACATTCCATATCTTAAAACAATGAACAGTAGATGTGATTTTATACACAGTATTTATTTTAAAAGTCTCTTAATTTATAAATGGCTATTCTCTTGATAATACTTATGAGATTAAATTTAGTTGTTGCCAAGGGTCCAAAGTGCGCAAATATATATTCTCTCGATCAGTGGTTTCTAGTTGAAATAAGTCTAAAAAGTATGGTAAATTATGTCCTCCAACATTAATCCCCCCATTCCATGCAATTTGCCAAAAATCAACACTTTGAAAAACACTAAAGAGTTGGGTAAAAAAGCAGAAAACCTTTACTGTAACTTGTCAAACACTAAAATGTGAAATACCTAAGAACCTCTGAAAATGAAAACTCAAAGTTTACTTAAAATTGAGACTCATTTGCTGAATCACCTCTGGAAAGTTGACCGTTTCTTCATCTATTTGAGTTACACAGTCCAAATAAATTATATATATATAATGCACTTTATATTGTTAATTACAACGAATGGAATATATTTTCTTACTTTTTTATGTTTATGTTGATATGGTAGGCTATACTATTATCCCATTTAAATCGATGTGATAAGTTAGATCAAAAATTATCTAAAAGTAGTTTGATTATATTACCTAAAATGTGTAATGTAACGGATTACGTTATAACAAGGTTAACGTTACAATTTTTGTCATGTAATTTGGAATAAGTAACGGACTACAATTTGTAAGTAAATTTGAGTATTTGAGTTACACAGTCCAAATAAATTATATATATATATATATATATATATATATATATATATATATATATATATATATATCTCAATTGCTAGACTGTGGCAGCAGTGGAAATAATCCTGAGAAATCCATTTTACCCATGCAAGAGTTTGAGAAAATGAGAATGTAAAAATAGCAATACATACTACAAATGACAAATAATTTTAGATACTATTCGTACTAACTTGTAGTAATTTGCAGCTCTGAGTGCAAATAGTCACTACATGCATGCATTCATTCATTCATATGTGCAGCTAATTTTGAAAATGAAAATACGTGGGTCAAATTGACCCCTAAAAAAAATGAATTATTACATTTCTCACGTTTTACACTTTTCAGTCTCTGAAAAGCGTCAATAGAGGTTTTCCGTGTTCCGTGTAACATCTTAAGTGATTTTCATAGTGTCAACTTTTGGCACGAAAACACAAAAAGCTAACACAAAAGCTGTAACTTGTTTTAACAGCATAAGGGGTTTAGCAGAAATTGACTAAACTAAACTAAAAACTACATAAAAATCCTACCCCAAAAAATATGACCCAGTCCTCCCTATACATCTCATATAATGTGATCAGACTCATTAAAAACACATTAGATCAGTTTTTATTGCAACTTTTAAAAGTTTATTCTTGTGGCGGTTTCTAAACATTGCTTCTGAACTGGGAGCATCAGTTAAAATCATAGTTCGAGAACAAAATAAACTGCATGCGACCATTGTAGCCTCCAGACCCTGGGCGGACGGCCGCAGGCGACTGGGTTCACTTAGTTAAACAGAAAGTAGAATCAAATAAGATCATACATAGGAGATAGGATTCAGCCTTTGGCACACACTGAAAACATACTGAAGAAGGGTTTGACCTTTGGAACAGAAACAAATGACAACAACAATGTATTATTCATAATAACAGGCATACAACCAGTGACCGAACATAAAATTTAAAATCACAACTTACAGCAGTTTTCTTTCTTTTTTCACAGGAAACCACTTCTAGTATAAATGTTCTGAAAGATTTGAATTTGTAATTTCCTAGACATTGCAATGAAAATGAGAAAGATTCCAAGCAACAGACAGAAAGAGCAAGAGAGAGGTATTAAATAAGAAACAAAGACTCTATGCAGAGGTAGAGTTCAGTGCACACGGCTAAAACTCGCCACTCGCCTGCCTACTGCCTCCTATCAGGACTCGAGTTTACAACACCGCCTTCAGATCCAATGCTAGGCCGCATCCTCACATGCTAACAGAAAAGAAATAGAATAGTACAATCTTCAAATGCTTCAAATCAGTCTTTCGATTCACGATTCCATTTGCCTCCCCAAAGACACTTTTCTCGAACGTTATCCCTGATTTCAAACGGTTTCCAACACTCTTAAAATGTGCAAAGGGAGTCTAAAGCGCCGCCTAAAAAATAAAATAACCCTCCTTGAGAAGTACTTTGGTCGATCTTCCTTCATCTTAAGGAAATAAACCAAAACAGACATCTGGGTTCACTGCCTTAGTTACACGTTTTGTCTAGTATCATGTCTCTGACAAAACGTAATCTAACCACGAGTACGAGCGATTCTCACAAAACCTGCCAAGAACATGGCTAGGTCATATTTCACCACCAAATTAAACATGATATATTGCATGAATGAGATAATTAAGCCCACACAACATAATGACAATACAATCTTATCATCCTAAAATAGGCTTAATTTTCTTCTTGCAAAATATCACTTTTGATTTTGCAGGAAATATTGAGCCGTTGTATGTCCAGTCGGATATGTTAGCATCGCATAGCCTACTTACTGTATTGTATACAACGTACACAAAGTGTGCACTATATTTAGATTCAACTATTTTTTAAGGGGTCATAGCATGCCTATTTTCCACAAGTTGATATGATTCTTTAGGGTCTTAATGAAACGTCTGTAACATAGTTTGGTTAAAACTTCTCAATGGTAGTGTAAAAATCACCTTTTTTACCCTGTCAAAAACAGCTCTTTTCAGAGCACGCAGTTTTGTAGCATTTTCCTTTAAATGTTAATGAGCTCTGCTGACCCCGCCCCTCTCTTCCGAGCTGCTCTCAGAGAGACTGTTTACTTTAGCCGCATTCATCGTGAAACTTGCTAATTAGCACATTATTAGGAAAGGCGATTTTCAAAGATCTTCTGTAGGTGAAGCTGGATCACGAATGATTCGCGCGAACATAAGACGCATTTATGTAGATCAGGGGCGCATTGTCTTCAGAAACAAACGTAATCCACTGCGTCTTCAGCGGCTCAGATGTCGGGAGTAAATGACGACAGCTATGTTCATTATTACATCCAACAACAGAACACCTCAATCGCTTAGGAGTCATTCTGGTCTACATCTGCTCCGGCGGTGAAACACTGGCGGACTGATGACAGTCACTCAGGGGCGGAGCTAAGGTTTAGACGCCAGTCCAGTCTGTGCTGAAACGCTACTGTCAATCAAACTATCGTGGGAGGGGCCTGTTTTTGTGACGTCACACAGACATGCATCTGAGATCGGCTCGATATAAAAAAGGGGTAAAAATTTGAGCAGATTTAACAAAAACCACTAGGTGGATTTTTATCATTATAGGGTGGTTGTGTACACACACAGTCAACACACATTTCAGTTCAAACAACTTGTAAAAGTGCATGTAGCATCCTATGACCCCTTTAAGTAAAAATGTTAAGACGCTTTTGGGCATTGGAGATAAAATAGCTTGAAAGATGTAAGAATAAACACATACTGCTTGAAAATAATGGCCATTTTGATGTCATCTGAAGAAATTACTAAGGGGAAAAAAATGCTAAAATGAAAAAAAAAGCTATTGCAGAATTACATTCATGTCAACAAAACATTGTTAAATTGCTTTATGCCACTTTTGTGATACAGAAAATAGGTTAAACTCAACTGGAAATTCAATTGAGGACAGAAGATTACGACTAAAGAGGGGAAAAAAAAACACCTCAAAGACCGTGCTTAGAAACTAGAAAATGTACTTATTCCTGATAAATCAACTGACATATTTATATATATTTTTTTAATTTTTACCCATAATTGTCCAGAATTCAGCAATTAACTAAAGTAAATCCTGGTCACATATAAATATCTGAAGATCATAATTACACTTCTTTAAGTATGTTCAATATACAAAAGATATTTTTGGAAGTTCTAATTCTCAAGGTGTTTCTGGGCGAAGTCTCACAAATGAAAATGTCTCAGTTACTCTCAACAGATAACGTAACGAATCATCTGGATTTTTTTTCTCATTTTGTCTCTCATAGTTGAGGTATACCTATGATGAAAATTACAGGCCTCTCTCATCTTTTTAAGTGGGAGAACTTGCACAATTGGTGGCTGACTAAATACTTTTTTTCCCCACTGTACATCTGATGACATAATTCAACACTTGCTTTGAATTGGGAAGAACTGATTTTAAAACGAATTCTGCGGTCTAAAATCTAGTGCTGTCAAACGATTAATCGCATCCAAAATAAAAGTTTTTGTTCACCTATGTGTACTATGTATTATGTATATATAAATACACACACATGCATGTATATATTTCAGAGAAATATGTTATTTTATATATTAAATGTATTTATTTATAATAATAATTATATGAATATAAATATAGACATGTAAATATTTTCAAAATATATACTGTTTGTGTGTGTATTTATATATACATAATAAATATACACAGAATACACACATATATTATGCAAACAAAAACTTCTATTTTGGATGTGATTAATCGTTTGACAGCACTACCAAAAAATAGTAATGAGAAGGGAAGATAAATTGGTTAATTTCATATTCTACATCTAAGGCCATTTTCCCGCTAAACGCAGGCGCTGCAGGTGATGGCAGTGGATACAGCAGGAATTCCTCTTTCTCACCAATTCAGTGCAATCTCTGGTTTGACGTAATTGAGAAATAAAACACTGCAATCAGTCCAAACATTTGTATCGCAGTGGCACTAGGAGCCTCACCTTTAATAAGTATTTTGACTTCGACACCAATTTTAACTCAATGTTATCTGAAAGTTTCAAATACCAGCTCCAGTCTTTCCAATAGGTATTGTGCGGAATAGATAGAACACACAGTGTATTGCTTTGAGAATTGGAAATGAGTGAGACAGCATGTGTATATCTGCCGTTTGTTGAGGTTATAAAAAAAAATGGTGACAAGAATATACACGTTCATGGTCATTGATGATGGAATGTCATTGTTGGCTCTGCAGAAGAAAAACCTTTGATTTCAGTATTAAAACTTCCGATTTCAGTCCATTTCGACATTGTACATTTTCAATTGAAACGAATTATTTCAAGGCATTCAATTATCGAATCTTGTGTTTCAAAAGGAAAGTCCCAAGAACTTCACATGGAAACCCTCCACACCACTTTCCTTTTGGAAATGCAAAGTCAGCTTCCTTTACTCTTATATAATAAGACTAAATGGTGCAAACTGCCTTTATCGAGTATTACAAATTGCAGGGAAAAAACAAAACACAATAAAATAATCAGACTAAACAAAAAGATCCAGATTTTCCCATTAATTTGCATTGTTAGACTAATTTTAACCGTTATTAAACTGTTTTTAATTTAAAATAAATGAGATAAATGAGAAAATGTTAAACAACTATGTAAGTACAGTGGCAATTTTAGAGTTTGATCAGCTCACAGCCATTTGGAGAGAAATACTTTAAGGAATGGAAGAATATCTTGAGAAGTGGTTGATTTTGGCTCTTGATCTTGATACGACACATCTTTGAGCATCCAGGTGGAATTTTTCTAACCATACAATATCAATTAACACAGCACGAATACTTCCTCACCTAGAATGGCAAACACGTATGACACAGAGCTGTTGGAATGCTGTTCCAGTCATTGGGCGTCTTTCTCCCTCATTTATATTCACATACTTCAGTTTTTTTCTGAACTGCAGTAGCAGTGTCCTCCTCTCTTCTTTAAGCCACAGATTGGAAAGTGATCTTTGTGTGGGTGTATTGTATATACAGCAGCCGTATGACCAGCAAGGGCACTCTTTAGAACAAAAACCTCTGGCTCAAGAGTCTTGTGGAGGTACTAAGCACGCATGTGTCCTCTTAGAGAACGCTTCTTCTGACAGAACGCTTTTTCTCTCAGTCTCTCGTGAAAGTCCCCAATGTCCACTTTTATTAGGATATGATGGCCGGCGACCATCTGACCACTGTCAGGTTATCTGCGCTCACTGAGCGCTTCTTGGCTGCTTTTCTCAAGTCTTTATATCTGTCGTCACAAAGCCTGGAGATCGCCTGTAAGAAACATGAGAAACATTTTAATGCTCTATATATTTACAACTTATATTAAAAAAAATATAATTTTAGAAATGTAACTGACTTCAACAGCTTTTATAAATTTCTTGGCTTGACTTTTTCAGGCCCAGAGTGTTATTATTATTAATTTAACTTTTTCACAAATGTGGAAATAACACAAAGCTCCTCTTACTCAAGGTGTTCCCCAGGGTTCTGTTTTTGGCCCTTTTCTTTTTCTACATAATTATTATTATTATTAACTTGTAAGTCATTATCTGCTGACTTATAAGAGTTAACAATGCCATATAATATATACATCTGATACGACTGAAGGTGTCACAGAAAAAGTATTGGCCAAACCTGTAATTTCTGATGCAAGAACCACATTTCCAAGTACCACAACCTCCAAGAATAAGTGGGAAAAAGTTTCATTCTTGAGACAAGATACAACTTGTGTCCATTATTTTGAGATGACAGATGATTGTGTGTGGGAGCGTATAAAGAGGACCAGTGCAAGATGGAAGCAGGGGGGCTGATCCTCATGAAAGAACTAGATCACACACCACTGATTGATTGAGCTGTCCACCCACAGACTCTAGATGGGCTAGTGGGCTATTATGCCACCAAAGGTAACTGTGCACACACACACACAACTGAACTAACTAACATAATTATAGGCCTGGTCTTGTCAGGACTGTAATTGGGCAGCATCAAGGCTGAATTCTGGCATAAGACACACATGGGGATTCAGCCGAGGTAATTACTCAGCCCTGCTGCTACTGAATCAATGGACCAATACAACATGTCATGATATCCCTTCTTAGTGAAAGCTGTACCAAAGTAAGCTTTCAAGTTTTACTGACATATTCTTTGTAACTTGCTGGAACAATGCTAACAGATTCAGTATTACAATCTGCCGAAATATTGGACTTCTCATGAAAACCTAGAAACCACAACACACTGGGATATGAATGAGATCTTGAGTGACAATCTGAGATAAATATCTTAAGCTATATAATGTGTTCTAATGATCTAGAGTAGTATCGACCACTCACCTCAAGTTTCTGGGCCTTGTCTCTGCTGAGAGGCTCAAGGGGAAAGCTGAGGTTGTTCGCCTCTGAAAGCGAACGCAAGTCAAAATAGTACTTGGCGTATACGCTTGATGGAACGTTAATATTGAACTGCAGCAGCTCCAGAAACTGTCGTTCCAACTCATTCCTGGTGGGAGAGAGAAAGCAAAGATAATTAGTTTTGCGTATGTTATGTTCCTTTTGACATTTGTCAGTGGGTGGAAATAAGCAAAAAGAAAATCTTGACAGTTTAGCTATTCAAGGAAATTCTGATTTAGCATGTTTCAATGAAAATAAATGTCTTTTTTTCATTTTAAAACTACAATCCTGACAAGAATACCAAAAGACAAGCCCTGATCATCTGTCCATATTAAAAAAATCTTCCTTTATTCACCCCCAGATTTCTTACCACAGATGAAATTCCTCAAAGTTCAAAATAAACAATCTATTGTCACCCCTTCCTACCAATCGCATAATTATTCCAACGCATGCAAAAAATGACCAGCTTAATATAACCAACAGTGAAGCATCTGACAACAAAAAAAAAAAAAAAACTGCTCAGCAGGAGTTGAAAGGGCAGATGTGACAACATGCTGAAAGTGTCAAGTATCACTCTTTATGTGTCAGCTCAATTTCTTGGCACCTTGCTTTCAGGGATATTATATATGGTACCTTAAGGTCTCTAGGATGTAGTTTCTAGAACGTCATAAAAACATCATACATACCAGTTGTATTTATGCTTAGAACCTTAGAAAAGCTGCCAATAGATAAAGTAAATATTACACCACAATACATGAATTAAAACAGACCCTTATAATGCATGTTCCTTATTGTATGATTTGTTGGTGATTATCTTGCTTTATTCAGAATCCATTACATCATAAATGTTTTACGTTAGCTGTAATTCAGCATATATCTTAGACATGTTTGAAGGCTGAGCAGCTAAGCTTTGTTTCCATCCACAGTAGCGAATTTAACTTGTATGAAAAATTGGAATATTACATAAAGCTTTAGTGAGTAAAGCACCGTTTTCATCTTGTGTTCAAGAGAATTGTGTTCAAGATACGTGTTGCTTCCAAGAAAACCGGTGCAAATTATCCATAATAAAAATGGAAGTTGTTAAAACCGACAAAGCCACTGCAGCTTTTTTCCCTACATACAGTATTAAATTACTTGCACCTCAGAGCATTGCCATGTTATCTTGAATTCAGAGGTGCAAGCGACACACACTTACATGTCTTCCACGGTGATGTCTTTGAGGATCTGGCAGTAGTCAACATTCCATACAGCCTGATCATCCCACACTTTTGACGCCAACAGGATAGCACCCAAAACAATCCTCTTCCAGTTAGCAGGACAAATGTCAATCTCTGCATATGTTAATAATCTCTCCAGATACACCTGACATAGAAAGAAAGTGGATTAATTTATAAGTTAAACATAAAAGTAATACTAATATGCAAATAAAGCATCTTGACAATCAAGTCAAATTTAAAGAAACCAATGTTTGTTTTTAGATTCTGGTGACTGACACTAGTATTTCTGTTTTTGGAGCAAGGTTACTGCAGTGTCACTGCAAATATGTGATTACTGCAAGACTGACACGTAGGTCAGGGGGCATGAATGCTGAAAGACAAACAACAAAAACGCCTGATGCCTCACTGGTAACAAACTGCAAACAAACACCACTCAGTTTTAACAGCACTAATAGATAAGTATTTTTTTTGGACATGTACCGTGAATCCATTAAAAACATTGGAGTGCTATGTAAATACAAAGTTAATGAATAATTTCTGCCAGGTTTCAGGGCCCATCATAGACCAGAGACTGCATTTAGAATTACAAATGAGTTGCTTCTGGTATATGACCAAGACTGCATTTCACTCCAGATTTACTAGAGTTTAGAGCTTTTGACACTATAGATCATGACATACTCTTTAAATTGATTAGAAAATTGCATTGCCTTAAGCTGGTTTAGAATTGACTGTTACCAATTTGTTTGCTTAAACGTAGAAGTAGTAAATCTAACATTAGTAAGTATGGGGTGTCACACGGATCTGTGTTAGGTCCCCTGCTGTTTTCAATATACATGCTGCCCTTTGGAAATATGAACAAAAAATTGTATTAGGTTAGTTTGGTTCTATTTAAGGTTTTTCTCCAACACTTCACCACCTTGACACAGTTAACTGTGACTGCTCACTGGGCCTCATTGAGATTAAATTTAAGATTCATGCTCATAAGGAGCCAAATAACAAATATTGCAACAAACATTTTCAGCCGTTTTGAAACCATCTACATTGTGAAAAGCTCTATACAAATGAATGTGAAAGCAATTATTTGATAATGCTTAAGATGATTGTTCAGTACTATGACAAATATTTCAGTACTTCAAAATAAGACAGATCCCCTCATTAAGCGATTTTGGCTAATCTCAGCTCTGGAATTTTGCTATATTTCATGTTTTTTTTAAAAACTCACTCTGTACTCCTAAATCACACGGATACAATATTTCTCTAGGAATTTCAATTTTATACCATAAAGATGAGAGAAAAAATATATTCTGATCAAACTGCTTCCCGAGGTGCTCATAAATTCTCCATGCCTGTTGAAAGGTTGAGACATACTGTTAAACACCACAGGATTTTTTAAGGAGAACAGATAGATTACCGAGCCCTTATTGCTTTAGCAACTAGACATTATGAAAAAATAGCACACCTTTTTTTAACATGCCACATGTTTCTAGGTATTTTTCCTGTCTGTTGGACAAGTAACATGTCAAAGGCAATTGATATGTTTAATGGCAAAGAATGAGTATGATCACTAGCAAAAGTGATGGTTTCCTAAGTGACTCCAATAATATTTCTTTGTGTACTTCTAAAGGAAAGTTATAAACATTACTTATTGAGTGGTGGAATTGTAAGTCTGTGCTCTGTTGACGTGGTGTATGACAGTATGCTATAGCTATGGGCGTCTTAAGCATTCATAAACACTGCTGATGGATGTAGGTGAACAAAGAAGTCCTTATAAAAATGAATAACGCATGATGTATGCAATGCAAAAAAGACGTAGAAGCACTAAGCAGCACAAATGCACATACACACAAATTGGGAACAGCAATGTCAAAAAATATTAATTTTCCCACATTGGGAAAGAAATCTAATAAGAGCTCAATTTTGTTTGTACAAAGTGTAAGACAAAAATCACACGTTTAATTGCTTCCACTGCATCGGGGGGCTCCGGCTCACCCGTGGGCAAGTTGTGCATTAAATATGTGCTTATGAGAGTATGTTTGTGAGCTAATCTCCTCTACGCTGCTCAAGATGAACTAGTGTCAGCATATGGGCAAATTACACACCTACAATTTATAAATCAACAACCTACAAGAACACTCCAGGGACAGCGGTCAGCAGCCTAATAGAAAACATTAACCTGAGTAGAGCTACAAAAACATAATTCAGTTTTTATTCAGAGTCATAAACGTTTTAAGAGGGCAAATTACAATAAAGTGTTATATAAGTGTTAATTACATTAACAGTATTAGTATTTATTACAATTTAGAATGTTTTCAGTTTAGTTTTTTGTGCTTTTGTCATTTTTATTATTACTATATTTGTAAATATACATTTCTGTTAAGCTTCATTTCAGAGATTTATGTTTTGGGCAACAATTTTTGAAAAGACAAACTGATTTATTATTTGGCATCTGAGTGGGAATGTTTTGATAGTGTATTTTTGAAGTCAATCAGTCTCCCATGAAGTTTACTGTGTGCAGTGACTCATAAGTTTCCTTTCAATAACTGAAGCAACCAGCAACAGCCAATCAGATTTTGCCAGCATCTCTGCACCTGTTGCCCCCTACAGGTCAAGGAACAGGCTCAATCGGTCTCAATCTACATTTAGAAACAAAAACAATCTGTCTATCAGTGTACAGATAACACAACACAGATCCCAAACTCATACAAAATATCTACGCTAAAGCTGCACTCAAAGCAGTGTTTTTATTAGTTTCAGATTTTGACTATAAGTATCAAGTCTGGTCCACTTTGCAGTTTTTATGGCCAAGAACCATCTAGAAAGAGACTGACTGATATTTAAAGTAATTTACCACAGTTAGCGTTTTATGTGATATGCAGGTCTGAAATCATTGGTACTACAATAATAATAATAGTGCAACAGTTTACGAGAAAGGTTTTACAGGTAATAATAGTAAAGTAATCATAGGGATATCTATGTTTATTTTTAGGTCAGATATTTTAGTCATCTACAGATAATAAATTGATTAAAACCAATTAGATTGCAGCTTAGAATTTTAAGGACACTCTTGCCTTTCTTTTTTATGTGCAATACATTAGATGTTCTGTGAAGAGTCCATTGGAACTATTGGAGGTCGAGACTACATTTCCATTGGATTATCAGTATAGTTTAAAACCCTATTAAACACACACATACACACACACACACACACACACACACACACACACACACACACACACACACACACACTTAAGCCCTTTTCAAGCATTCACAGCCCCTTGTATGTCTACAACTTGTTTAATGACACCTCCTGAATCCAATCCAAAAAGACACGGATGAACTTTCATTTGTCCGCCATCAAGTCACATGACCTATCACTCACCAGAGTAACTATGGCACACTCAGCCGTGAGCTGGGCGGCACTGAAGAGCGTACGAACGAATCTGTAGATCTGTTTCTGTTCTGGATCATGCTTGTCATAGTCTGACGGCACCTCCGATTTCTGTGGAAAAAGGACGTTTTAGGACATTCCAACTTGTAATTACACCTCATAAATGACCTGCAGAAACGAAACACTTACTGAAAGTGGATGAAGTTTTTCATCAAAAATGTCTAACAGCATTCGCCCGTCCACATTTCTGAAAGGAGAAGGGTGAATTGAAATTAGATTAGGGAAGACTGATACTTATTCTATGCTGTATTCATATAAAGAATTAAAGAACCAGTAAAGTGTGTGGTGATACATTTTCAATGTTGCCGGAACCTTGTCTAAAAGTTATATCTCAGCAGCTCCGAAGCCTTGGAGTTTGAAGGTTATAATAACGCATTGAGGGTTTATATGGTATTACAGGTTTAAAAGAAAGATAGACACAAAGCCAGAGACAGAGAAAAAGATGGATATAAAAGAATGGTTGGTAGGTAGATAGATCTCTCTGCAGAGAGAAATGAAAAAAACATACCTGTTCTTTATGTGGTAGTATATTGCGAGGGAAACACTGCAAACAGAAGAAAAAGCAGAAAATCAGAAAGAGTTGATATAACGGTAGTCAACATGATAAAGCATCAAATAAATTCAAGCTGAAGGAGAAGTTGTATATAGCGTTATCTTTCGTATTGCGCTGCTATTGCATTGTCCTCGCTAACTGCGCAATGTGCATTTAAAAGAATATGCTGTTCTTTTTATCAGTCTGCAGATCAGTGAATAATATGGACTCAAAAACATTCTAGAGTATGTATGTTGAAACAGGCAAAGTGTCAATCAAAAACTATTCCTGGATAAATGAACACCGAATTGAATGCCACAAGGGGCCCCGTTTACAAAGAACAGATTTCTTTGCAAATTAAATTACAGAAAAAAATAAGAGTAATCCCTCACTTTACTTTTTCAAGGGACAAGTAATTCAATTACAGTAAATAATTACACCCAACACTGGAAATTGAGCCTAACAACTTGTTAGTTTGCAAAGGCTTCAGCCATGCTTTTGGAAATTCAATTTTCTTTCCACATCCTTATTTAATTATCTGTCATAAACCAGTCATAAACTTTTCAATCAGTACCATTTAATGGTGTATTTGAGGTTGGGTTGGCTAACGGTGCTGTCGTCCAGGAAGATCGTCGAACAGGAGCTGTACTTGCGTCTCATTGGGCCAGACGGATGTTGCTGAAACACAAGGACACACAGAGTGCAAACTAGAATATCAGTTCTTCTCAAACACATACATACACACAAACACACACACACTTTCAGCAAACAGGCTGAAAATTAGGCCACCTGCAGCCCCAGAGAAGCCATTATCATCTCATTTATACCTGAGTGATTCTCGCTTAATGTGTGTGTGTGTGGGTTAGAATCCCAATCCATTACAATATAAACACAGTAATGTATTACGTAAGTTTTCAAACTGATAAGCAACATTAACAATGCAAATAAATCATTACAATGTCAAAACAGACACAATATCACAGTTTAAGGAAAGTAAACCGAGCAATGAGCAAATATTTACCTTTGACTCCGCAATGTGTGTTAACTTGCAAAGTAATAGAAGACATTAAAATAGGAACAAAACATAAGCTATTCATTGCAAATTGTGTATGAATAGCATGCGGTAATGAAATGAAGAAAACCAAACCATGCATATTAAAGGAATAGTCCACCTAAAAATGAAAATTCGCTGAAAATGTAGCCACTCTCAGACCATCCAGGATGGCATCATCTGAACAGATTGGGAGAAATTTAGAATTACATCACTTGATCAACAATGGATCCTCTGCAGAGAATGGGTGCCGTCAGAATGAAAGTCCGAACAGCTGATAAAGTGGTGTGGATTATTGTGATGTTTTTATCAGCTGTTTGGACTATTATTCTGACGGCACCCATTCACTGCAGAGAATCCATTGGTGAACAAGTGATGCCATGCTATATTTCTCCAAATTCGTTCCAATGAAGTAACAAACTCATCCATGTTTTGGATGGCCTGAGGGTAAATGTTCAGCAAATTGTCATTTTTGGGTGAACTATTTCTTTAAAACATTTACATTGAATGAACAAGAGCAGAACAGAAAAGCAAGGCTGTTAATGATGCAACACAAGCTCAGAGACTCATGCAACACTGGTTTCTGCATTCTCATGGGGTTGAGTGTGGGATTTGATTAGTTCTGTGGGTGTTGTGACACATGGGGAGACATCTTCATCGCAGACACAAGCATTATGAGAAACAGAAAATAAATATCCACTGATGTCATGGCTGCTGCTGCTACTTACATGGTTGACATATAGACTTTTCCGTTTTTCCCGAACTGTAAAGAGAAACGCATAATTAGTAACACCAGCACATCAGTCACTACAGTTAATTAGAGAGAGACAAAAAGACAAGGGCCATAATTAAAGTGAAGTCAGTAATATCAAGAGGGATGTTTCTAACAATCTGAGGTCTTAAACTGTTGGACGTTATTTCATTAACAGTTTGGGGGGCAGAGAGATGAAAAAGAAAATGTGCTTTAATTAAACTGTCCTTAATGTTTCTCTAAAAAACTCTTGCTGGTTAGTCTCTTAGAGAGAGCTTTGACTATCAGCATGAAGTCTGGTCCAATTTGGGGGTTATTCTAGCCAAGAAATACCCAATTAACCCAAAGTATACTTCAGTTTTGACAGTTACTGATTGTGTACAGCCAAAGACATAACCTTTCAAAGTATACACTTTAGTTTTTTTTTTGCACGTGTGTGAAGGCGCTCGACACATGCACGCTAGGACGTTTCATCATTGTACAGTGTCTGCACTACTTCTCTCCATAAGTTATAAGCGATAAAAATGTCTTTATAGGCATTTAAGCAAGAGTTGTGTTCTCTCTTAACTATGGAGCCATGCACATGATATTCGAACAAAAATCTATTGTGGCCACAAATAAAAAATGTGTTTGTTTTTTTTTTCAATTTGTTGCCGTGTTTTAGTTAAATTAAGAATTAATTCCTAAAACTGAATTTGTTCCCTCGTTTTAGTACATCATGACCATGCTGTACTAATTTGTACCTTCATTTGAATGAAATCAAAATGAGGGAACACATTTTTAATTTGTGGCCACAATTTAACTAAACTAATTAGTAAAGTTTTTTTCAAGTAAATCTATCTATCAGTGAGTAAATCTATCAGCACACAACAGCGCATTCCAATTATCATGCAGCAGTTGCACAACCTATTAAACAGTGCTGGTGATGTTGGCCAAGGGTTTAGACTTTCAAATGTCGTTTGCTCTCTCAAAGCTTCATAAACCGTTCTATTTATTTGCCATCGTTGGTCTCTGTGGAACAAAGTTTAATGCGCACATATGTACTACTACGTAAACATATTGTAACATTCTCAGAAAGCTTCTTTAAAACACAAAAGTATTCTTTAGATTATGGTATTAAGATTAGAACCATAAGCATATAAACTTACGCCCACAAATATTTATAGATTAGCATCTGTCTTGATGAGGTTAACCAAACATAAAAGAGGTAATTTACATATAGAAGTACACATAGAAGGCCGCGACATCAAGCCAACAGTTGGCTGCTGGCCAACGTCTGTCAGCCTAGTTTTGGCAATAGTTGGAACAAAGTTGACAGATTTTCAGATAATTGAACATGCTGAATTTGTGGCTGAGCCCGTTGGTGAGAGAGCTCACTCTGATTGGGTGTTCAGCTTTGCGAACCACAGCACGTGAAGAAAAAACAAACGACGAAAGCAAGTGGTCAGTGAGTCTGGTGTGAAAATGGTAAGCGCTGCTTTGTATATCTGCAATCCTAGCCCTTTAGGTTTCTCTTTTTAAATGATGAATACAGACTACTGCCCCCTGCTGGTATGGAGAGTTATTTCCTCTCACGCAGGCATAGAATGTACGTGCTAGTTGTCTGTAGAATTTGCGGTTATGGGTAAAGATCTTGGCAATTTTAAGGGCACCGACTGAATTACGTCGGTACTACAGAGTACCAATTCACATTAAATGAATTAAATTTCGGAATGCATCTGGCCGTGAGAGTAAAGGGGGTCACACACACCGGAGAAGAAGCGCAGCGCCGCTCTACGTATTTAAAATTTGAACACATTGCTTTCTATGAGTGTATGCACACCGGCAGCGACGCTGTTCAAAATCCTGCCAAGCCACTCACATAGCTTTCCATAAAATCACATTATATTTATCCTAAATTATTGTTAATGTACATAATGACTATGATGGATGTATTGTGCATCTTTCAGCAAAATGTTTGTCTTTCTGTGACGCTAATACAGTCCGTATGCTTTCTATAGAGAGCCATAATAATATAGATCGCACTTTCTCTTTTCGTTTGGTCTGTTTTTTCAAAAACTAATCAACGCAACTTTATTAATTCTTGAAGTGAACATGATGCGGCGCGGCGCTTTTCGTCCAGTGTGCAAACACCTTGTTTATACTTTCGCCTGGCTCCGCATCGCGAACCTTCGCTAACTGCGTGTGCACCTTCCCAAACGGACGAGGTGTTTATACTTTTCACGCTCACCATTGTAATATTTTTTTAAATGACAGGGGGCGACTAGGAGTAATTGTCCTCTAAATCGATCGGGAATCGGGTGCAAAGTAGTAGTTTGCCAGTACAAAACTCAAAATTTGATGTCTCGCGTGATAAATTAGTTGATTAATTAATTTCTTCTTTACGTACAAACTGATTTGGTTGTGGGTCAGTTTGGAAGACTGTTTGTTTTTAGCACACTGCATCAAACCCACACTACAAAATAATCAAATACTCATACTAAACCCAGTGAACTTTCAGAATATTATTATTTTTGACATTAGCATTATTTTGTCTAGTGTGTAAGCTTTCCATAAAATCACATTATATTTATCCTAAATTATTGTTAATGTACATAATGACTATGATGGATGTATTGTGCATCTTTCAGCAAAATGTTTGTCTTTCTGTGACGCTAATACAGTCCGTATGCTTTCTATAGAGAGCCATAATAATATAGATCGCACTTTCTCTTTTCGTTTGGTCTGTTTTTTCAAAAACTAATCAACGCAACTTTATTAATTCTTGAAGTGAACATGATGCGGCGCGGCGCTTTTCGTCCAGTGTGCAAACACCTTGTTTATACTTTCGCCTGGCTCCGCATCGCGAACCTTCGCTAACTGCGTGTGCACCTTCCCAAACGGACGAGGTGTTTATACTTTTCACGCTCACCATTGTAATATTTTTTTAAATGACAGGGGCCGACTAGGAGTAATTGTCCTCTAAATCGATCGGGAATCGGGTGCAAAGTAGTAGTTTGCCAGTACAAAACTCAAAATTTGATGTCTCGCGTGATAAATTAGTTGATTAATTAATTTCTTCTTTACGTACAAACTGATTTGGTTGTGGGTCAGTTTGGAAGACTGTTTGTTTTTAGCACACTGCATCAAACCCACACTATAAAATAATCAAATACTCATACTAAACCCAGTGAACTTTCAGAATATTATTATTTTTGACATTAGCATTATTTTGTCTAGTGTGTAAAATTTCTAAATAAGAAAAAGCTGAAATTGAAAGGTTTGGACAGTTTTTTTTTCCCCACTGAAATAAATTAATTTCAGTTTTCGGTTTTTCGAAATTTCGTTTACAGTGTGAACAGTACCCAACGCTATTTGCTGTGTGTTCAAGCACAACTTTTTTCTTTGATGTTGTTTAGTTGTGTCTGGTATAGGGGTGTGCGATATATATCGTCTGCGATAATATCGTAATTATTGTTTTAACGATGTGTGATTTGACATTATTGAGTATTTTGCAGAGACCTTTCAAAACACCCCTACAGCATGATTCAGTCTAATAAATGCATTTAGAATGATCACAAAATTCAAGATATGGGGACAGAAAATGTATATATTTATATAATGTCATATAGTTAATCAGTATCACACAGAGTGCGGTAAAAATTACCATGATTACAAATGTTCAGTTCAAATTACAAGAAGTTAATTAAGAGACTTGCATTTTAGACACCATATTGCTTATTTTTGCTCTATTTCGATGACAAAAATAATTCCAAACACAGCTACAGTGCTGTTTTGCATCTCTGAGCAACATGACGGTGTTTCGTTCCTGAATGAATCAATCGTTTAAATGATTCGGTTCAATCGCAATGACTCACTAATTAACAGTGACTTGCTGCCACTGGTGGTTTTAATTTAACATTTAAAGTTTAAGAGACCAGCACAATAACACACTCAGCAACATATCGTCTAATTATCGTTATCGATAAAATCCCAGAAAATATCGGGTTAATATTTTTTGTCAATATCGCACACCCCTAGTCTGGTAGTTCGTATAATTGCTTGAATGCAACAGAAGAGACCTCTGAGACATCTTACCCATAAGATAATTTCCATTAGCGCCCAAATGATTCACCGTACCACAATGATTAAACTGCATTTCATATTTACCTATCTCTACTGTATCTGTGGGCGGGGCCAGTTACTTTGACTGACAGGTGATGTGTTAAAAGCCTGACCCAGAAAACAAACTGAGACTGCAGGTGAAAATGAAGAGGCATTGTGTGTGTGGTCATGTGAGATAGACATTTGATCAGAGTCCCTGGAGTCTGACGCCCCTCATGCGCACACACAAATATGAAAGCTACTGTATGACTTAGTTAATTCTCACATATTAGCAGTTTGACTATTTTTCATCAATATCATAACTTAATTTAAACTACAGCACTAGAGACCTACAGAAGACAGAACGGCGTACATGAATTTAAACAAACAGCTGCGCAGCCAGAAAAATGGAACAGATTCACAGACATTTTCAACATGCATAACCCCCTAATGGCGCTAAACTGAGTGTAAATGTCTGAAAATACAGCTGTGATTTTATTTAATGATATTAATCTATTGCCCCATTAAGCAGCTTCAATGCAATTAGCTACTTTTGGTTAGCTTT